TCGTCTGACAGAGAAAGAAGTCTGGGGGGTTCACTTCTGGTTGAATATACATTGCAGAACATAATGGGGAAAATTAACCACAGGCCAACTGTCACAAAATGTCACAGTGCAGCATCAAAGTGGTGATATCCTGTGGGTATCCGCAGTGTGAGCATCCACGCTACAACGCATTATGCCCTCTAAGGCCCGAGTCTACGTCTCTGTGAGGGGGCCTTATGAGGGAGGCGCCAACCGCCCTGGGGTGCCCCTCCACAACGCAGCCACAGATAAAACACGGTGGACTGATCACAAAACATTCCTGTTTCTAATAAACCCCACCGGTCCTATGTGATTCACTTTGACATTCATTTACAAGTCATGCTTAATAAAGACGGCATTTTCATGTCCTAATTCCCCGACTCATCACTGTAGGTACCAGCGACAGCCCCTGGCCCTGGCTCCCCCCCCCCCCCCCCTCCTGTCTCCGCCACGTTTGACCTACTTCTGTCTGCACAACATTGTAAACAGATCTACTAATTGCCTTCATTTATTCATTTGGAAGTCAAGTTATGTTGCGGATGGCGCCCTCCCAGCTCATTCATGTGTAATGTGTACAACGCAGGTCCTCCCCCCCAATGACTCTTCCATGTGTATTTGCAGGAAACCCCTTACAAAAGTATCCCATGAGGCCATGTAAGATTATAAACTGTAAGTGCAAATATTGTACAGTAGACTGCCTAGAAGAGCTGCAGCAAAAGCTTAATCCCCAAATCTGAACTCATCTCCTGGAAGGAATTCTTCTTGGCAAAAGCCACTGACCCAAAAATCCACGCACGTTATGACTATTGTAGTTAAGATACTTTTCCGCTCCTGTGGTCTTATACTGTTATTGCTTTTGTGCAGCCAGATAAATCCAGGCCACAAAAAACAACAGCGACAAAACAATATTTGTTATCGCCTCTGAGGCTCACGACAATGACTCCCGATGACTAAGTGTGAGCATCGAGATGTTTTCTCCTGACCTTTAAAAAGATCATGGCACGTCTGTTACAGTGTTACCAATCTCCAACACATCTGATAACAAAATGCAAACAACTAACTCTTTAACAGTGTGCTGTTTCTGCTAAATTAGTCTACACATTGTGTTTATTTAAGGAATAGAGATAGTTATGCCTTCATCATTATCCACTGTGTTTCCTCATCATATCAAAAAAGTTACATTTTTGCATCAAAACGTTTAAAGGTTGCCAAAAAACTTTAGTTATGAGTTAAATTGCCTTAAAATAAAGTTATGAGTTTTTTTACATACAGTACACTTAGTGATATTCACTCAAAACATTTAAAAGTTGAATTTGAATAAATGTATTATGTCAACAAATTACACATAATTGTATTAGGTTAGGTAAAGTATAAGTAATAAATAATAAACTTAATTGCTTTCAACTAACCTACAGTAATACAATTATGTGTAATTTGTTGACAGAATACATTTAGGTAAATCCAACGTTTCATTTGTTGAGTGTTATTCACAATAGCTCATTAGAATTTGAAAATCTACCCCAATTATTATTTTACATGGCCATGATTTAAGCCCTTGCTTAATGCTATCGAACATGAACAAGGACTGAGAATGATGCACATTGACAGGCTAACAAAGAAAGACCCCCTATTCACATTTTAGTCCATCTCTAATGGCAGATGGGTCAACAAACAAGAAAAAACTAACCCTTCTCTGTCTCATGAATCATGACAAACTGGGCGCGAGCTAAGGTATGACAGCATTTCACCCCAATAAAAGCTGAACTTGAAGGATAGCTTTGGTTCCACTGATCTCGATCCAGGTCAAAGGGTCGTGTTTCAGGAGCAAAAGAGGCCGGCTTCTCCCTCATCTATGCTACGATTGGTGCCCGCTGAGAGCTGGCGTCCCCCAGAGGCCTCAGCAAACCCTGTTCCTGTGTGTGAGTGTGAATGAGTCACGTCTGGGCTGGAGCGTGTCTGAGTGGCGAGGCGGAGAATTCAGCAGGGAGGACTGCGCAGGGCAAAGAGTTGTCTCTATAATCCAGGGTAAACACTGAGCAGCATGACTGCACGCCTTAGACGTGACCAAAGCCGGGAGAACAGAAATGGATGAAGCCATGAGGCTGCTGCCTGCCTGAGCTGCTTCGTTTGCCACCAGCACTTCCTGCTTTCTCTTCTTGGTTTTTCTCCCTGTTCCGTAATTCCTCTCGGGATTTGACAGAAGTCTCTCAATACTGAATTAACCTCTGGATGGCACTGCTGGTGTCTGTTGTTTAAGGTCATGCAAGACTCAAACCTGGCTTTGCAAATATCATATGGTCTGCTATTTGCGGTCGGATATCGAGAGCACTGTCTTGTTAATGACTTCTAGGAGGCTTGAGGTTCTGATAAGATTACAATGCAAATGACACCAAAGGTCTTTGCTAGGAAGTGGGATTCGTGATTTGAAGAATAGAAGTTCAAAGTAATGGGATTCTGCGGGACACCCCACGGAGTAAATATAACATATATAGATTGGTAAACACACAATGAATGTTCTGCTCCTTTTTATGAGTTAAGGGATATGCACAAAGGATTAAATCGGTTTCTAAAAAAGGAAGCCTACATCAAAAAGAAGAAGAATGTTTTAGAAAAAGGTTTGCTCTCAAAGGAATAAAGGTTTCCGGTGTCCATTGGTTTAGGCAATTTTGTTTACTGAAAACAAACACATGAATGCTTCAAAGAGTTTATATTTCAGTTTACCCAGAAGCTGTCAAAAATAAAAGGACTGTCACTGCTTCCTCTGAAAATGCTCAAAAATGCCTGAATACTCCTTTCATTGGGTTTGAACATAAAAATGGAGAAATGATGGAATCAGATTGGAAAGCAGATGATTTGAGGGATTTTCAGATGTAAACTGGACATAATTTTTCCTAAAATAAGGAAGTTTCAATCATGTAACTTTTAAAAGCAGAGGAAGAGATAAACAGAGCGTGACTAAGAGGGTCTGAGTCGATGTCATGTATCACAATTAAAGAAAAATAAATATTAAATCTCAAATTCAGTGTGTATGAGATTAGGGCTATAGGGTATGGAGAGGATTAAATATTGCAATCTTTTTGACCAAATACCTATAAATCTTTTTCCAACCACACTGAAGGTTTGACTATTGGTGCATTCTCAACATACTTACAGACTTTTGATGAATAATCTTCAGTAATGAGGATGAAATGACCTAGTGGGTAAAGACACATAATACAAATTACACTAATTTGCGGTAATACATGTTGAAACCAGGAAGATGCAAGAATCAAGCCACATTACGACCCAAAATCTAAGACGATATAGTTTCATATCACGATATTTGACGTTATATTGATATATTGCCCAGCCCTATGTCAGATGTTGCTCTTTGGTGGCCAAAGACGGGTGGAGTTGCTCAAACTGAGCCTGCCAAATTGAGCAGAGGAGGTCGAGACACTCGAGTGACTTCTCCCCCGATGTGAGCGTGGCGGGGACAGATGGTCAGGAGACGCTGCAGAGGAGCAGGAGCAGACCCTGCCAGCTCAGTGTCAGTCTATCCGCTCCATCCCTGGCTCCCTCTCAACTCCGCCGGACGTCCTGTAAGCCAGCCAATGGAGAGCACCCACCGCATCATGACCCCCGCATTAGGATCTGACATGGCTGTCTTCATTTAACCTTTACTTATACCGGGAAGTCTCGCTGAGAAAACACCCAGTTTACAGTCGCAGCCAAAACAGACAGTTGCCTTTGAGCTAAAGCTTTCTAGCTCTTGGCACGATATCTTTAGAGGAAATGAAGAAGCATTTCCCTTAAGGGGTTTGAATGATTTAGAAAAAAAAGTATTATTAGAGGAGTGTGAAAGGGATGCTGGGGAAGACAAGGGGGAGATAGGAAAGCCTGTAGGAGCTGGATTGGAGAAGCTTCTGGTTGCACACAGACAGGATTTAGGGTGATGTAGGCGTCTTCATTGATGGTCCGTCCTCCTATGCAGGCAGCTTTATTACTCCATTAATGGACTACCATGAAGTGACAGCGTGTATGAAGCCACTTTATCTACGGTGCTTGTGTTGCTCTTACTTAATTGTCTTTATTTTCAGATAAAATCCTATTTTGTCATTTGTATGAGAGATACCTCGCATAAAACTAAAACAAGCATCACATAATAGTTTTGACAGAGGGAGGCAAACATTTCTGTAAAAAGACCATCAAAGATTCTCTGCCATGCATTTTACTCATCCATCCTTCAGTCCATCCTGTGTTTGAGGGGCATTGTTTGTCCCCTGGAAATATCTACATAAAATATGCTAATGAAATGAAAGAGGGAAGTGTAAGGGCTGATGCTGCCTGGCTCTGAATCTCTAATGACTCCCTGCCATCCCTAGAAAAAAGCCTGATTAATTTAGGAATGTCGGTTGCTCTGGAGAGTGATTAATTCCTCCACCATGAAACGAACAAGGCAGAGGGGAGAAAGGAAAACAGGGAGCCCAAAATATGGACGCATAATTGATACGTTTGAATCATGTAATTAGCCACCCAAACAGGGGAAAGGCGCAGCTACAGGGTGTCACTGCTTTGTTCAAGTAATAGGCCACAGTTAGATCTCTCTTTCAGAGACGCAAATATGATGAGCCCCCCTGTTGATAATGGGAATATTGGACTATCTCTTGGGTTAGTAAATACGGGGAGACACTTTGAACAAATGATTAGTTGTTTCTTTGATGTCTAATGTGTCTGACTAAACAGAGATAGAATCGAAAACAAGTACATATATTTCTTTGTTTTAAGATGTGCCTTATGATGATACCATGAAAGCAGTTTTTCTACTCACGAAAAGTATCAAGGATCTATTGAGTTGAAAACACTTCTTTCTTTTCTCTTTCAGAATGATGTGAAGAACACTTAAGGACGACGAGACAGCACTTCAGCTCATCTTTTCAAATCCTTGAAACACGATCCCAGGTGCTTTGTCTGAGCTCGGTATTTTTTGGAGCCCTATGGGGATGGGAACGTGCTTTGATAAAAGATGGACTTACTGTGGCCCTGCTAAAGGTCACCGTCCTCTAAAGGTCATGTCATGGCCCCTGGCCCTGTGGCTATTGACTCTAATCTCTGTGAATCAAAAGACGACTGTTGGACAGACTCTGAACGCCTTCCAATCGGAAAGGAGGGATTGGGCGCTGAACCACCTGACTGTGCATCAGTCTACAGGAGCTCTGTACATCGGAGCTGTCAACCGAATCTACAAGTTGTCAGCTAACCTCACCCTCCTGGTGTCCCATGATACGGGGCCGGAGTATGACAACAAGGCATGTTACCCTCCACTGATTGTCCAGCCCTGTTCTGAGCCGCTTGCATCTACTGACAATGTTAACAAACTGTTGCTCATCGACTACTCCCAGAACCGGCTGCTGGCCTGCGGGAGTCTGTACCAGGGCGTCTGCAAGCTGATGCGGCTGGATGACTTGTTCATCCTTGTGGAGCCCACGCACAAGAAGGAACACTACCTGTCCAGTGACAACCAGACAGGGACGATGTACGGGGTTGTTGTGCCCTCGCAGGGTCAGGATGCCACTCTGTACATCGGCACGGCTGTCGGCGGCAAACAGGACTACTTCCCGACTATCTCCAGCCGCAAGCTGCCTCGTGACCCAGAATCCTCTGCCATGCTGGACTACGAGCTTCATACTGACTTTGTGTCCTCTCTGATTAAAATCCCCTCAGACACGCTGGCTCTTGTCCCACACTTTGACATCAACTACATCTACGGTTTCGCCAGCGGCAACTTTGTCTACTTCATGACAGTGCAGCCGGAGACACCTGAGAATGGGATGCCCACCGGCGGATCCCCTGGCGACCTGTTTTACACCTCTCGCATAATCCGCCTCTGCAAAGGTGACAAAAAGTTCCACTCCTACGTGTCGCTTCCTGTGGGGTGCGTACACAAAGGCGAGGAGTACCGTTTGCTGCAGGCGGCGTACCTTTCCAAGGCCGGCAGGGTTCTGGCAAAGTCGCTCAACATCAGCGCACAGGAGGACGTGCTCTTTGCCGTTTTCTCCAAGGGACAGAAGCAGTGCCACGACCCTCCAGACCACTCCGCTCTCTGTGTCTTCACCATCCAAGACATCAATACACGCATTAAGGAGCGTCTGCAGTCCTGTTACCAAGGAGAGGGAAATCTGGAGCTGCACTGGCTGCTGGGAAAAGACGTGCAGTGCACCAAGGCGGTAGGTGGACTATAGAGGGAGAAATGGTCTGATTTGCCACTTATAACACACATTTAGTTTCAATATAAAAGGTGGTGAGCAGCATTGATATAGATTTACTAAAAATGGGTTATCCACAACAATGATTGAAGCTTTAATAGCTTATAGGCAGGGAACAAGAGCTTTGTTGAAGACACCATTGAGGTTTTTTAGGATCCCACAAGAGCAGAAGAGCTGGAGGAGATTAATTCCACAATGCTAATCAGAGGAGTTCTGTATTGAGCTTTGATTTTATTCAGGGGTTTGAGCACTGACTCCCGCTCCCCCCCCCCCCCCCCCTCTCCTTCCTTCTACTCTTGTCGCTGTCAGCAGTTTTGAACCCCTTTGAGACCTGTTCTTGATCTTGAGAAAAAAGAGCTTTCTTGTAAATGTCCAAGTCTGTTCCCTCAGTGAAAGCTATAATTCTGCATAATGAGTGGCTTTCATCTAAACAAGTTGAAAGCGACCCATAAAAACAATGATGTTCATCGCATCCATGGCTCTTGAATTTCACAACATGTACTTTGATTTCACCATGCCATCAAAGAAATAAGATGTGATGTAATTCATACACGCAACAGAGGGAGGAAGGAGACCCATAATAATGCTATAGATTGCTCTGACCGTGCAGTTAACCAAAGAGCGTTATATTTCAATTAGACTGTTAATGAAATGCAAGGTTTCAACTTGTCATTAGATACTGTGTTTTTTTTGGTAACATGATTCATTGGTTAGGGTTAGGGTTAGCCACAATGTCGCTTTTTGAGGATGTGTTATCAGATATTTTCCTTCCTGTGTCAAGTAAAAAAACAAAACGACTTTAATACAAATAATAAAGACCAAGGGGGTTTATTAAGCTGCTGTACCTATCACACTTTATATAGTAGACTCCCAGACTCCCAATACTCTGAAAGGCTGTACTAAGTCCAAGGGGTGCATTATGCTAATTGGTCATTTCAGCACTCAATTCAAATGCTAACCTGCTAAATGATAGCAGCTTTAACCATGCTTAGTTTTTAACATGCTAACACAATTAGAAACATTTGCTTGTGTCTACAAATCAATCTGATGAATGTCTGCATTCAATTTCATGGCAATCAGTCCAATAGCTGATAAGACTTATACTCTAACATGACACATTTCAACTTGCAGTGTCGCTAAATGAAACATAAGGGCATCGTTTTCGTCAGTAGGATTCATCCTCTGGAGACTTTGAATGAATCCCTTATACAGTATTTCTGAGGGTTATTTCCAAGAAGTTCACATTGACATAAAAAATGTGTCAGCAGACTTCCAGATGGTTAATGTTAAATGCAGTGAATAGGAACGAATGAAACTCTTGAAACATATATTCTAATGACTTATGTTCACATAAGCAAATACAATATTTAGTTTCAAAAACGAAAGGCAAAGAAAGTCTTATTTGAGGTAAGATCGGACTTTTTTTTTTGCTGAGTTGACTACACCGATCACATTCAGTAAACTAAGGTACATTGATGGAAGGAAAACAACAAAAGATGAATATGCCTAGGAATTCAAGGAGGTGAAATAAGAAATTAGCTGCCCTAAAAGGTAGATTCATACAGTGAGTGGCAGGCAATTAGCAAAGGTTTGAAGTGAATGTTAGTAGATGTAACAGGACTGCAAAGCATGCAGCTCTCTTTGATGCTTAATCAAAACCTGACATCTCTTGTGCTGAGTGTTTGTGTGATGTCAGATCGAGTGATCTTAAAATCACAGAAAGAGGCGCAAAATACACAGCGTTCCTCGTGTTTGCCATCAGCAATTAGTCTGCCCTGCGAATTTGCCCGCTCTGAGGCTTGTTGATTAACGCGGCAGAATGAACCTTCTTGAAGTAACCCAGAACATGGTGCACTTAATGCATGTGGGGCTTGCCAAAGGTCAGTTTGAGTTGTTCTCTTGTATTCGTATGTGTCTGCAGTGATCTCAGTCATTTTTCCAGCTCCCACTTACGCTCTTCCCCCTTTCTCGTACCTCCACCTCCCCTCCTTACATCTGTCATCTTCACTTCTCCTCCCTCTCACTCTCCCCTCTTCTCTATACCTCCCTTTTTTAACCTCTTCTCCTGTTTTCTTCCCTTCGCCTCCTCGAAAACAACATCTCTGACTTTCCACTCTCAATGCCTTCTTCATCTTCTCCCCAACACCTGTCACTAACCCCCTCCGTCTCTCCACGCAGCCTGTTCCCATCGATGATCACTTCTGTGGCCTGGATATAAACCAGCCCCTGGGGGGTTCGCAGCTGGTGTCGGGTCGCACGGTGTTCACTGAGAGCAGGGACAGGCTGACCTCTGTCACCTCTTACGTCTACAACGGACACAGTGTGATCATCCTGGGGACCAAGAGCGGACGGCTGAAGAAGGTGAGAACAGAAATGCAGTCACTGACAAGCAGGACAGGCTAAAACTGCCCTTTTCACACACTGAGCTCAATACTGAGGGAATGTGTGGTTGTTGACAGCAAAGAGATGCAAACAGATCCACTTGATGACAAATGACTGCACTTATCTACTCAAAACACAACAATGATTTCTTGAGGCTGCTATTGATGACCCATTGGCATCTCTGTCAGGGAGATTTATCTTCCTGTTTCAGATTTTCAATACAAATGCAAAATGGAGCCTGGTCCTAGACCTCCGAATCACTGCCAACAACTCAAGCGATTTCAAATAAGTCTAATGCAGTGCCCATTTACAGCTACTGTACTTCCTTCGAAATCTAATTAGAGGTTAGTAAATGGGATTAACAAAGGGAAAGTCATGTTTCTAAAGATTACGAGTTAAAAACGAGCAACAGAAAAATTGCTAAAATGCTTGGATGAGATTGATGCAGGCTATACAAGTTGCAACAATCTCAAGCATCAAGTCCAAGCACAGAAATAACTTTAATTGTCTAATTCATATAATAAATGTTGACATTTCAAGTTAATTGGTCCTCATAAGTGCTACATGTCTCTGTCAACTGAAAATGAATTCACCAGGACATATTGACGGAGTGTGTTTTGTAGGAAGGTACCTGACCTGATGACACATGAAAAAATGAAAACTGATGATTTTAAAAGACTTATAATAAAACCTGATAATTAAATATTAAAGTTGTACTCCAGCAATTTAGTACAGCACTCCCTTAAAGTTTGGGGAATTGAGAGCGAAAGACTACAAAAAGAATAGTAAAAATGTCCTTATTTGAAGGGTCAAAGTCTAAAAATGTTTAAACCTACATTTCCCACAATGCAACATATAGCATATTTTTGTTCGTCCTTCCCTTTGTCGTAAATCAAACTCAAGGCCCACATTTTGTAACTAAGGCTCTTTGGTAAGAATTTGACGAGTCCATGCCAAGCCCTAAATAACCCTGATGACTTCACTCTGTCTGACATAACTAAGCTCCTCAAGAGAAAATTGTTGAAATGTCCCTTTAATGTCTTGCATCATTTAAAACAAGTTTCTGCCACGCAACTCCATATTTCATCATTTATTAGTCGGCAACTAGAAATCCACCGACAGCTGTTTGTGCCTCTCTTTCTGCCGGGCACATTTAGGTAATAATGATCTTTAATCCATTAACACTAATTAATGTAATTATGTGTTTAATTAATACCCTAATTAGCATGACTAGTTATGTTTAATGCATCGTGGTGATTATGTGGGACATTATGCTGAACAAAGGTGCAGCAATCATGCAGCGCTGCATCTTCAGCCTTTTGTGCTGAGGACAAATCGATGTGAATTTCCACCCATGACAACTTGTCGACTGAAGCACAGGCCTGTTCCTCCGGCGCCTTTGTATTAGTTGCATTAGTAACAGGAAGTAATGTGCCTCTAGTGCCTCTTGTTTAACACTGTCCTGGTGGATTTTGGTTTGAATAGCGTTAAGCATTATGAAGTATTTAAAGGAGCAATTATCTCTGTGTACTTGACATGGATTTGTGCATATTGAATAACACAGTGCTGTCTGTATCTTTTAGGCTGACTCAAATTCTTTCTTGTGTATTGTGAGTCTCCTGTTTTCAAGTCTATCTTAAGTTTTCCTTTGTTTTTGGGATAAGTCTGCTCTGTGTGTTGCCTCAACCTTCATTGGTGTCCTCAAACTATTAAAAACACACACCAGTGAGTCACAATGTTGAACTGGGTGACACGTTTCTTCATTATGATGAATTTGGGCACAGTGGTTTAAGCCCGCGTCACACTGTCCCGAAATTGACACCCGATGGACACACGAATATGGAATTGTGAATTTCGCACGAAGATGGCCCCGAACCACACACGAAGGCAACATTTACATTACATTTAAGACAACTGCAACGAAAGTAACAAAAACAATTATGTTAAAGTACTATAGGCGCGTTCACACCGCAGTACTTTTCCCACTTAAGTTCCGATATAGTTCCGAAATGTCGCGTTCACACCAAAAAGAGCCGGAACTAAAATTAGTTAATGAGAACCTTTTTACCCCCTTTTCCGTCAGTTTTCCGTCCCTGCTAGAGAGCAGTTACCTTCGTGGGAGAAAAAGGTTCCTATGTCTGATTGGCTGGGCGGATTGCAAACCACGCCCCGTAAAACTCCCAAAATGTTTTGTGAAGCCGCGTTTTTATTATCCTCGCATTAGCATTATTAGCATTAGCATTAGCCCAGCGCACAAACGCAGAGAGACTAACTTGGTGGAGATGAGGAGGTGTCGACGTTCTGGCGATTTACTCGGAAGGCTTCAGTAGAAGCAGCTGGGAGTCCCAGCAGCTTCTACTGAAGCCAGTCCCTAACTCCGGGGACTTCCGGCCGGGGACTTCGGGTGGCAGTATACGCCGTGAAGTTCTTTGCAGCCTGCCAGTAAACCCAAAGCAGAAGAAGAAGAAGTGACGTCAGCGGCTTCATTTGCCTAATCCTCCTCCAGGGACTTATTCCGGTGTGAACGCGATCTGTACTTAGTTCATGAGAACTAAAGAGTTCTCATGAACTAAGTTCTGATGAACCTTTGTGGGAAAAGTACTGCGGTGTGAAAGCGCCTCATGATACTGTACTGATATTTTCAGACTTTGTTCTTTACTTTATCCATCTTTATATGTAGAAGATATTACGTTTTCTCCGTAATGTTGTTTCCATCGCAACAACAACTTCTTGTCAACTCGCCTTCAAAATAATATATTATATCCTTTTCAGTTTCACAGAACACAAATTGGGTTATTTACATAATATGTTTACATGATTTTGTTGTGCAATAAAACAACCAGATGGACACACGATAAAGGAAATGTTCAAATTCGGCTCTGATCGTAACAACATCGGGCCATTCGTGAGGGCATCTTAAGCCATCGTATGACCGCCGGTGGAGTTTCTCAGGCTCCGGCAGCAACTTCGTGTGTGTGTCCAACAGGTGTCAATTTTGGGACAGTGTGACGCGGGCTTTACTGAGTCACCCCACATATATTGTTCTGCTGCCATAAATACTCTCTATCACACCAAATCTGCAGCTGAAAATAGGCCGCAACACATGCCCATTTTACTCCCACTTGAGAAGCCTTTCTAAAATATGACAGTGCCCAGCTGTTTTGGGAACTACTTAGCTTAAGCCTTAAAATAATACTAGTGACCTGTTTTAGAGTCGGCACAAACTACACGGGTTGACACAGGCCAGGTCATTCTTAAACTGTTAATATATTGACTAAAGCCATTGGTTCAGTTGGCATAACATTAGCTTATAATAAGAAAAATAGAATATTGCCAATCATATTCCTTCAAGCTTGCTTTAGTATTCCTTCAGTGTGAGGTTTCTGCTGCTCTGCTGTGCTTGCATCACCCGCTCTCGTGTGGATTGAGGATTAATACAGTACTGACAAGTAATGACTGACAAGTGTATGATTGAAAGGAACTAGTTCAAACGTGTCATATGGCCGTGTCTGAAGGCAGAAGTGTTTATAGCTGTACTGATCGACCGCAGCTGTCTTAGAGAGGGGCGATAAAAGATAAACATTGAAATGGGAATATTGATGCGCACTTTAAGACTCAGAGTCACCTTAAAGTATGTATAATGTTGAAAGAAAATAAGTATAGACAAATAAAAGGAGGGATTAAAAGAGACTCAAGTCCAGACCATTTAAGGGCTGTTTTCATTAATAAGCAATTAGAAATATAATAATATAAGATAATAGTTGGAAAAAATACAGCCAAAAATGCTAGTTCTCTCCGAACGGTCTAATACCAATAGATGTATAGTTATTATAATATATGACAAAGAAAAGCCTTACAGTCTCCTATCCAGGGGGCTTGATTTGCACGTCCACTTCAAATGAGGAGTTTCCTCTTGAATTAAATTACAAGAAAGTAATAAATGATCTGAAATGATCTGTCAATCCACAAACATGGCATCATTTCTGCTCTAGACTTCTTTATTTGCTTTGCGCACCTGGCCGAACGCTAATTGAAGTGGACATGCAAATCATATTGTCAGTTCCATAAAGATACAACATCGTCAGACATAGTCCGTCAATTTAGACTCAGACATGTGTGACACGCACTTTGTTTGAACACACTGACCATTTAATGCTCCATGGCATGCCTTAGTATGCATTTAGGTAGGTTTGGTATGCACAAGCAATCACGGTATAGATGTACTGGAAACAGGCATCTATAGAAACGTATCATCTACTCAAATGTTCCTCCGTCTTTTTTCCCATCGCTTTAAGACCCTTTACACCAGGCCCACGGACATAAGATGACCTCTTTCTGACCGGTTCATAAAGTTGATTTAGCTCATTGACATCATATATCATTTGAAATACATACTGTACTGATATATTATAATCAAGTTCCTATAAGGCTTGTTTTCTGATATAACTGAATTGACTTGGTAGTACCGGGGGGCTCTGCTTTCTGCACAGTCGCACAGGCATGCAGCTGACTGAGGAAATGTGTGAGAGGACTGTTGTGACATTAGCCCGGGGGCCTCAGTCTTATGAGGAGCAATCTGTCTGACACACACAACACACACGCTCACACACATGGTCCAGACTGGGAGCACAGATAGCATCACTGCAGCTCTTTCATTGGATGAGCCACAGGGGAAAAAGACAAGATAGCCTGACAGAAAGAGAGAGAAGGACTGTCTGAGACAGAGTAATAGCAAAGGAGAGAAACAACAGAAAGAGAGGTCAAAAGACTGAAATAATAAGTGAGAAAAAGAGGAAAGAATTCAGGAAGAGAGAGAAGGGAAATCACAAAGAAAAAGTATGTTGCATGTTCTCAGGAAGTGAGCAGGAGGTGTGTGTTAGGAACATAAGGAATCCATCATTACTGCTTTAAGTGCAGAGTGTCTAAAGGGCCAGAGTTTGTCATTACTCTGACAGAATGAGCAGCCATGATTCAGACTC